GAATTAGTATTGTTTGTGATGACAATAATGTCTATTACATGAGATAAATATAATTTCTATGAAATGGTCAAGTCAAGTATTGTACTACTAGTAACTAATACTCTATAATTGTATACCCCCTCCATTTTTGGGACTAAGTTTCAAATTTTGTTTAATACTGACACGATTTCATTGTTGAAATATTGATTAATGTGCGATAGGATTCGATTATATATATGATACTCTATGCCTGCATTAAGTTGAATTATATGAATGATGATGAGTAGATTGAACATGAAATACTCATATCTGAAGTTCCTTAAATTTATAAAGGGTCATAAATAATAATTGAAGAAAAATGAAGGTACGTATATGATTTAGAAATTTCTAATAGTTTATACTGTATAAGAATGAATTTATATACAGATAATTTTGAATAGTATTCTAGATACCAAACTTTGGGTGAGAACTGATGATACTAGATTAACTCACTTTCAGAAGTGAACAAGAATTTGTATGACTGAAAAGATAGCAAACACGTTTGCATGATGTTTTATTGATCATATATAATGGAGAAGTCATTAGAACTGCAAACATGATAATATATTATCTATTTGAGCAAGAAATAGTGTTACGAGTTCAAGAATTTAAAGATGACATTTTGAGCAACTTAGTTGAAAAAAAAAATTGTATTCATTATGCCCATACTTTAATTTTGAGAATTTTCTATATAAAGATTAATATAATTGGGCAAAAGAAAAAAAAAATAACTTTGCTTTGTTTGATACATGCATTGCAAAAAATTTATGGCTTAAAAGGAGCAAGGGATTTAAAGATTGTTGGACTATTTTTATACCCCCATATGCAAGGATTAGGGAGATAGTATTTATTCCATTATTTTTATGTAATCCTTGCACATAAATAATTAAATATGTTGATGGTCAGGTTGGTGCATACACTAGCATAAATATCAATAAATTATTTAATAGAGGTGGCCACGCACATGATAATCAAATATTTAGAATGATACCATTTTGAAGATGGATATGAATAAATGTCATTAACTATATACTAGCTATAAATGTACATATTAAGTTGATGTCCTAGAAGGACAAGATCAGTTGCTATTGAAACTAGCACGCCTGAAGTGTGGTAATCCAAAGGGTTACAATGATAAGAATCCTTAGAAGAGGAAAGGAGCAATAATTGACAATGACAAATTTGAGAAAATGACACATTTTGATGGATTTCCTGAAGAGATCATTTCTAGTACATTAAAATATGTTATGATTATATAAAGTACTCCAGAAGAGTATAAAATGTTTTCCAACAAGATTAGCATGTTCAAGATTACAATTAATTGAGTATTAATTAATTGTCTTGCCAATTGTAGAAAGAAACACATGAATTGGTGTACTTATATCACATCATACTCATTTCCATGCATAAAGTATTTCTAATAAGGTGATTACCAATATTATAAAACTAACCATAATTTAAATACTAAAAGAAAAGTGATTGGATGTGATAATTAAAAATTAGGTCATCCGGGGTTTAATAAATTCCTGTTATGGAAACCTGAAGTTTCATTTGATATGAAAGAAATAATGTGCTGACGCTCTCTCATGTTAAATATATGAAATAAATTGAATGGTAAGACATAACATTGAGATTGAGCTATATTTGGATTGTGATTTTTAATAGTTTGTGTTAAAAGAAAATTTCAAGAGTTAATAGGTTTTGATTTTTATATATACGAAAGAGTAATAGGTGACCAGAAGTTCACCAAAATAACTTATATATTATTGTCAAGTATTAGATGACTAGAAGCTCACTAAGTACACTATTTAAGTCTTCAAAGATCCAGGAGATCACTATACAGTGGTTTTACATACAGCTGATTTCATTATTCTTGATTGGGGCTATTTTATGTCAGCACATAAGAAATAGAATAAGAAAATAGACAACTGCACAATTTATGACTCCCTATTAATATTAGAAGAGAACACAATTTCATTATTCTCCAGAAGAGAAAGAAATTTGTTGAATATGATTAATCCTGAAAGATGAGATTTGTTGCACATGAAATTTATATACTAAGTTGGTATAGAATTAAATGCCCTTATAAATAAGATATTTTACCAACTTAGGAGGAGAAGAATCAGCAAAAGTTGGAAAATCGAAAAGAATTTGATGATCCCTATAATGGTAGTTTGAAAAGTTATATGCCAACTTTTGTTTATATATTGTCAAGATATGTTGTACATTTATGATTTGATTTGTATTCAGTTATGACTCATGTTGCATATCGTTGAAGATACATTTTGGTCATATTATGTGTATACATTGAGATAAAATCTTGCCAATTATACTTAAATCACTACGCCTGAAGTGTGGGTTGTATGATCGATTCCAAAATAAAGATATGATATGTGGCAAGATAGTGCAGTTAACACTTTTAATATTGTACAAGTATATAAATATCATAGTGTATGAAATATCCCAAAAGTGGTATATATATCTGAATTATTACAATAGATGGCCTATGATGTAAGAAAAGTTATGATGGTACCAATGAGAAATGTATTCAGATATCATTGTCAAAATAGCATGCAAATTAAAATTGTACCTTGAGGAATTATATGATGATAGCGGTATATGATGGAACCCATATATAATATGCATATGCAGAAGGAATGGACTTGTGCATAAGGGATCAGAAATATATGTCCATTTTGATGTCGACATGAAACTAAGATAATAAATCAAAAGCTTATCATGGACAAGAAGTCCAATGAAATATGAATGCTAATGATCAAAAGTTTATCATGGACTAGTAGTCCAATTAATAGATTTTTGAAATCCACACTGTACATCGTTTGCATTTTTGAGTCTTTTATTTATATGCATGTTTGAGTTTTAAATTTATGAATTACTCATGTATGTATAGGATGTAGTTTGATGCATTACTCATTACATATATATTTTGTTTAATGTTTTATCATGAATTCTAACTTCTCATATTGCATGCATTAGTAATAGCTCTATACAACAACAATTGTGTTATATGTGAATGTTTGTGGTATGACGAGTTTATAATTATGATGAAGATTTACAAGAAGAAACTTATACCCTGATGGGCTTATAATTGTGATGAAAGTTTATATGATGACGATCCAATAGCACGTTATGAATCATGCATGAAAAGTTCCCGCAGAACTTATATACAACGTATTCAAATATCTAGCCCTTCAAATTCCATATTCTGAAAAATGACAATGTTGATATTGTTATCAAACTCATGGAGAGTATTGGTGACTAAGTTATTGAAATATCAACATGAACCAAGTGAGAGTTAATCGATTCTTATATTCATTAGAAAACTCCCGTATAAAATGCAAAATGTCTACAGAAGAATAGTAGTGAGCTATATTGCAGTAAGGATAATCTTATTATGGTCCAGAAGAACCATGAGTAAAGTATATAATAATACTTATATTATATTATTACTAATTCATATAAGCTTAGATAATGATATCAAGATATCACAAGTTGCCATAAATTATTATCAATATTTGATTATCAATTACTACTTCTATGACCTCCATGAGTAGGCATAATTTTGATGGTAAGAAAACTTGAAACAAAAATGTCATATAAGATAGTGGTAAACGCAACATAGGTATTGTTCTCACAAGTATGGATAAATGAAGATGCTTTACAGTGAAGATTCAAGTTTGGTCAGGGAGGATGAACTATCAAGGAATGTTATTCAGCTACAAGTGTGAAGTTACTAAGGCATTGGATTCACAACATTGGAAGATCTCAAGTTATGCATTCATCAGGAGGAGAAAATACGCGCTGCACTCTTTTTCCCTTAACCATGGTTTTGTCCCACATTGGGTTTCCCTGGTAAGGTTTTTAACGAGGCAGCATGTCAAGGCGTATTACGATAGTGTTGTACTCTTTTTCCTTCACTAGGTTTTTATCCCTTCGGGTTTTTCCTAGTAAGGTTTTAACGAGGCACACAATTCGATAATGGTCATCCAAGGGGGAGTGTTATATAATATATGTATTTAGTGGATGCCCATTCCCTTCTGATAAATCTAGGATATTCTAGATATACTATGTTTATTATTCTACAAGGAAACCCTAATTGTTTCACACACACACACACACACACACACACACACATATATATGTACTCCTACATCACTGAATAAGAAGAATATAGATCTATTCACTCTCTTATTTTTCTTCTCTTTAATTTCATAACATAAAATAGTAAAAAAAAGTGTCTTTTTTCGGATTTCGGATCGGATATCTGATATCCGACTTATTTTTTCGGATATCCGGATATCCGAAATCGAAATTTTCGATATCCGATATCCGATCCGATATCCGAAACTTTCGGATCGGACATCCGATCCGAAAATATTTTCTGATCAGTTATCGTAAATTTTCGGATCGGATGCGGATCGGAATTTCATATTTTCGGATTATCAGATAGTTTTGCTCAACCTTAATTTTCATCTCATGGTACACCCTGCTGTACAATGTAAATTTTACATTATCTTGTTAATTAAGCCCCTCGTTGTCATGAAACCATTAAACTCAAATTTAATATGACTCCAAAAAAGGGATCTCTACAGTAGCTGGCATAATCCTTCGCGGCTTTCAATCTCAAGTCATTTTCTCTCGTATTTTCAACCTTGGTACTACACCAATTAACTTTTTTTGCGAAAGCTAGGGCTCCTAAAGGGGATCCTTATTGCAGTGCAATAAGAAATCAAACGTATTCATATCGAGGGAGATAACCTCATAGTGATTAACTCAGTCAACAATATTAGGATAACAACGTGTAAAATACAGCATATGAGCATAAGCAATCTTAAGTACTCTCCGCTACTTTGACAAATGGAAGATTCACCACATGCATAGGGAAGCTAATAGGGTGGCAGATTAGATAACAAATGTAGTCCATCTAGTAACTAGTTGAATATATGTTGAGCCTTGTAATAGCCTGCAACTCCTCTCGATTCTTACCAGTGAGTAGTGACTAGTTAGGTATAGTTTGAGTCGGGTTCGATGAGGTTAAGTCTGGTTTAATTTCAAACTTAAATCATGCTAAATTAACGTGTCATTACGAGTCGAAATCTGAATAATATATTTTTCGAATCAATTTCAAAAAGGATCGATCAGATTAGATCATATCAGATTTTAACACCTCTACGTATAGTCCATTAGCCCTCGAGAAGAGGGCATCTGAATGTATTTTCCCCTTATCTATATAAATAAAAAAAAAATTACAAAAAAAAAAACCTATTGCAGTCAACAAAACACAAATAGAGCCCACAAAATTTGCGCAACTCAGCCAAGAAAAGTCGAAAAATAGAAAAGAAAAAGCTCCTATTTTTACTTGTAAGAATGAGTTTCACAGCGCAACAACATAAGATAGAGGAAGAAGAACAATAAACACATTTCGTATAAGGATCTCCAATAAACAAGAGAGTGGATATGGCTAACAAAACCTCCAAAATTCAAACAATTTACGATTTTTGCAAGAAGACATTTTCGCTGACTACAATACCTCCTCCACCTTCTTCTCATGTCGTCCAGAAGCTCTCTTCTCTTCTGGGTATTTTTCCATTTTCCCTTTCTTTTTACATTTTGATTTTTGCCTTTTAATGTTTCTTCTGCTTTTATGAAATCAATTTTAGATTGATTTTGCAAATGGGTTTTCACTAATTACATTGGAGGTAGTATAATATGCTGAATTCTTGTTTTGATTTTTTGAGAATTGGATGTTTATGGGATGTTTTGTTGATGAATTCTAGCTTTTGCATGTGGGTATATCTAATTATGTGAGAATCTGTTGTATAGTTTACAGTATGCGGAATTATTTTTGCGAATTTTTGAGGATTGGATGTAAAGTTTTTTTTTATTTTTTATTTTTATTTATTTTTAGAATTGGATCTTTGTTGGATATAACGTTCATTTGTTTTAGAATTGGATGTTTATTGGAAATAATGTTCAGTGAAATTCTGTTTTCTGCGTGTGGGTATTGCTGATTATTAGGTAATTTGTAGTTGCTGATTGGAAATTTTGATGGTATGCTGTTAAATAAATACAAGTAATAGTCTTTCTACAAATGATTGAGAGTAGTACTAGGATGGGTGACCTTCTGGGAAGTCCTCGTGGTGGTTCATGCAGCTGACCCCACTTATGGGACTAAGGCGTTCAAGCAAGCAAGTCTTTCTACAAATGCTTAGCAAATTTTGTGGATAGTAGTGGATTTATGTATAGCATGTTGATAAGGCCTCTCGATTTGTGAATGGGGATGAGGATAGCATGGAAGGCTACATATTATTACTTTTTTGCAGTCTTTTGTTTTTCTTTTACACTCCAAGAATGAGGAAGGGGGAGGAAGGGAATGGAAGGGAAAGGGAGGTAGTTAAATGTGTGATAAAAGAATGATATTTTATTGTGTATTTGTGTCTGATTTGCTCTTGTTTGTAAAGAGAATTACAGTTGCTGAAAGAGGAAATTCCCCTTCAAAATTAGGTTCCTTGCCATTCTTCCCAAATTCGAAGTTAAAATGGAGTGGCATTTTTGGATGTTATGGACTAGATATTGACTCTTTTGTGGCAGATGTTTGAGTGATCATCTGCTTTTGGCAATATTGGTATAGTGCATTTATTTCTAAAGTGATGGTGGTGTACCAATAAAGAGGTGTTGTACATCTTAGTGTAACTAGAGGATATTCAAATATGTCACATCTATCCTGCAAGTTTCTGCTCTATGTGAAAGATAGGTGGTTCAATCCACTACCTAGAACTAACGGTTCTTTAGAGACGTAAATTAATAATGATATTGGAGAAATATCCTTCAATTCTATCCTTTACATTCCTTCATTATGTATTTATAGTGTTTGGAAAGCAACAATATAGCTGTTATGCTCTTTGTCTCTATCACGTTAGAAGGCTTGTACTCATTATCTTGAATAAGACTATGGGTACTGGATAGGACAGTTTTATTGAGACTTGAGGAATATAGTGGAATAGTGACTTATCAAGTGCTATACTGCTATATCTTTCCATATCTTCCTCTCCTAGATCTGAAATCGATACTTTACTTTTATTATCGTCACGCATAAAGGGAAGATGCTCATCTCCATTCAAGCGTTTGTGTTGGACCACGAAGTTAGATTCCCATGCCCATGTTCATGTCCTGCAACTCTTTTCCTCATTTTCACATTTTGAAGCTTTTCCCACCTCATCTGAATCTGCAGGTTGGAGACTTTGCTGGAAATTAATGTAGATGCCCTAGAGTCGGAAGAAACTGCAGCTACTATTTAATATTCAAAATACACTTTGCTCACAATTTTCTTTGGAAAAAGAAATGAACCTTCAAACTTGAGAAACTTGTTTTGTTTAAGAGAATTATTTTTGTTTACCATTCGGACTTAAGGGCAGATTGCTGATGCTATCTATAATAACTGATTGTGATTGAGATCAATAAAAGGAAGAAGTGAAAGAAAGACATAAGAACTGGAGGCACTTGGATTGTTTCCACCAACTAATTGTTAGATTTATGAGCAATTGGGTAATAGACATCTTAAGGAGGTTGGAGTCTGGAGGGGTTGGACTGTTGGAGTTGGAAGAGATGGAAAGGGTAGGGGAAATGCCAAAAGGAGAACCCAGAAGCTGGTGAGGAACAAAGAATGGGGTTGAAATCGTGGGTGTGCAAGGGTTGGGTTTTTGTTTATATATATATATATATATATATATATATATATTTTAAGTTTTAAGCAGTTCTGCTCTCTATTTCTTTGAAGAGAGTTTTTATACTAACTCTTGAGTGTTTATATTTTATTAATAGTACTAAAGTTTACTTTGTCTAATCTAATCTATTATATACTAAGATTACTAACACTTGAATGAGTAAGATAATCAAGAATTTTTTGGATAAGATTTTATTTTTTTAATACAAGTTTTTTTAATTGGGGACACTTTGTGTTGATGGGTGAGTATCATTTCATGATCTTATAAAATTGATAGCCTTACTATATAATTTAAATGGGGAAAAATGAGTCATTGAGAATGCTCATGCTTTGGTGTGCCATTTTTTTCATCTTTAAAATTTTTGAATAAACTTTTAGATTCAATTTTCAAACCACTAGTGAAGTTTGCTATTAGAATGAACTGTATCGTAACAGTTTCTAATTGCCATATAGGATGTAAATCAACAATATTCTGTATAACTTTTTATAAAAAATGATAAACATAGTCCTTAGGGTTATATATAAGAAGATATAAAAGTTAATATTAAGAATAAATAAACATTAATTACACCATGAATTCTCAACTGTATACTATTTAAAAAAATTCATTTAGCGTTTATATGTAGCCCTATATATTATTACCCTTTTTTATGTATATACTTCGAATTTTGAGGGAAAGTGTAAATCAAGTTTATTTGGTCATCAAGAGCTATATGGTTTCTCATTCTTAGATGTGAAGGGGAGTATTTTGGGCATTTGAGGGTAATCCTTTGACCATAAGATATGTTATAGTCTCTGCTTCCTCCCCTTCCTCCCCTCTTTGTTTTTCCTAATTCCCTTTATAGAAGCAAACCCAAAAGTACCTAAACATCATAGATTATGCAGAAGCCATGAGCAGGCTTAGGTTGAATTGTTTTTAATTTGGTTACAACTAATTATGTATCTAACAACTTGTCTAAAGAATTGCTTCCTGTTGCTTATCTTGGAGAATAGAAGGAAATGCTTATTGGCCTCAAAAGAATAAATTTATTTTGATTTTCCCTGAAATCAAGAATAACATGTTGCTAGCGCTATGAATACTTGACATTAGAGCTTCACAGCAACTAATAAGTAATAAATGAAGTGCGAATGCAAAATTTACTGGTTCTTTTCTTCCATTTATGCCGCTAAAGAAATTTAACTTCTCTTCTGACTACTGAGTCACTTGCATTTCCCAGCTGGTTCTTTTCTTCCATTTATGCCGCTACAGAAATTTAACTTCTCTTCTGTCTACTGAGTCACTTGCATTTCCCAGCTGAAATAACTTGTACATCCCTTTTGCTCTTGCACTTACAATCTCTTTAGTTGCACAGATGAATTGTAAAAACTAAAAAGAACAGTTTAATAATTTATGTACTGGAATATCATGTTATGGACCTAGAATCATAAGTTGATACTTGCTTAGTTTGAAGATTGCTAGCTTGCACAAGGATATGATACCAGCATGTTTCTTTTGTCTTTGAATTAATTGATTGGTGGTTTATTGGATGTAAGATGTAACATGTAAGTATATACTTTCTAACTGGCATCATTCAGGTAAACACCACTTTACACTTTAACAGAAAAATAAAAAGGCCACTTTGAAAACTGAGACCCTTGTTTCAACTTATTATGGAGTTCAACTATACCTTTGTGCCCCACTGCTAAATTTAGGAAAATCAAATCTGTCTATGCAATTTTCAACTTTTCTTAGCCACTCTGCTGTACTGCTGTAGTACTGTTTGGTACTTCGGTTTTATGCTGGCAGATCTTGGCAAACCTGGCCACCTGGGTCTCCAATTCACAAGGTTTCACTAAAATGTAACGAATTAGGGCAACTAAACAACTAGATTTCTCAAGAAAGCAAGAAAATAAACTGATTGAGGGAAGCAGGCAGCTATTTCATTGAAAAAGACCAGAACTTTCTTACAAGGAGGCTTGAGGCCACCACTCTCTACACTCAAATGACTACAATATTCCAGCTACCTAAGCAAGTTCCTACCTCCCCTTTTTTATATGTACATAAACAGCTAAAAGAAGATAATGACAAAAGGCAAAAAGTTGCAGCTGTCACAATGTGATATGTTGCTAGTCCTTCATAGCAGCCCTGCTTTGGCTGCTCACTGAATTTGATACTGCTCCACTACTCCTTCCCTTAACAGTTCCTCCTGCCCTGTCCTGCTCCTTCTTGTGTATGTGATCGAGTCCTTCTGTTTGCTCAAGGCATTCGTTACATAAAATACCAATCAATATGTATTGCAAATCTATCAATATGTATTGCAAATCTATCAGAATGTATGCTATGCATTTTCGTTAGCCTCTCTGCTCTTTGTATTTAAGTTCATATCTCTTGACAAATGTAGCTCTCAAACACACAAGATTTCACTTAAATACCAAACAGCCTGTGTTATTGATCTCTTAGAATGTATGCCTAATTTTTTCAATTGTAAGAAGGCTAGAATACTATTTGTTCTAGCGATTCAGCTTTGCAATCTCTGTCACTAAAAAGAATAATGTCTTATATAGAACTTTAAATTTTTTTGAATAAAGGTGTAAATTTGACAGGTTATCATTAAATCCAGATTTCCGCTTGCAAAAAGTTGTATTGGAAAGTTTGTTGAACATCACCAGGGTGGACCCATTTTTTAATATCAGAACACTGAACATTAAGCTAGAATCAGACCACATAATGGGGTATGGATTGAAATGCTATGTTTTCCTAAGTATTTCGATGCAAATACTAGTAATTAGTTTAGCTGTACTCACACAAATTTTTTATCATCTAACTATTTGTGTACAAACAGGCTATAGAAATGTTTGTAAAGCTAATTGTGTGCCAGATGGCTTCTTTTTCGCAGCATGGAGACAATACAAGGTATCTAGCTTTAAAATTGTGATCTGTGATAATATTCTCCTTTGCAGACACTGTAACTCCTGCTGATGTTGGTCTGAAAGAGGAGAATGTAGATGATGACCGAGGATATGGTCTTTCTTTGCTGAACCCATTCAACCGAGCACCTAGATGGGCCCAACCTATAACATATCTGGATATCCATGAGTCTGACACCTCTACAGTAAGGCCATATGCCCATATCTCCTTTTCTGTATTACTTTCAATGTCTCATGTGCGATCAACTTATTCATGCATCTTTAACCTGGAACTCCATTCAAGTTGCAGTTCACAATTCAAATGCATAAAACTTCAAATGTATATATATTTGTTTATTTGTTCAAATACATAAAATTTCAATCATAGTTATTTTTGTTCATCTGTTCAAAGTGTAAAACTTCACATGTAATTATTGTACCTGCCTAGTTGACTCATCTTTCCTGTGATTCATTACATCTGTTCAAATTGTAGAACTTATTACTATATATTATTTGAGGTGGTGCTTCATTTGTTTAAAGATTTAGTCATGAATTCATGTTACCAGTTACCAATCATTGCGGACTAGTTTTGTGCTGTCATTATGTTGTAGTGCTTCAACTTAATTATGCAGGATTCATTGCATTAGCATGAATGTGTTAGTACTGACAGTCCAGTCTCCACTAAGCGCTGACATCCTAATATAAATATGCTAGATGTGCATATTCTGCTTTCCGACATCTGCAGTCATTCCTCTGCATGATCATCCTGGAATGACAGTCTTCAGCAAACTTCTGTATGGATCCTTGCATGTGAAGGCTTATGACTGGGTTGAACCTCCACAAGTTATTCAGAGCAATGGCTCTGAGTGCTCTCAAGGTACAGTAAAAAATTGTTTAATATATTTATCTATTTTTTTTTTAGTTTTTTGGGGCTGAAGTTAGATGAATTACCCAGTTGGACCTAACACTGCACCGTCTGCTTGGGCCAACACAATTCAGTCTTTGTGGGCCAGGCTCTTGGACTCCTCAAAGTTGGGGAGGGAAGAGGATAAGGGAAAACCCAATCCAAGAATCTGCAGGTTGCAGTATTTATGAATTAATAATTATTGCATATATAAGAGGATCATTTTATCTTTTGATTTTAATTATTGCTAATCTGAACATTTTGAATGTAATCTGTCAGTCCAAGAGTACGGTGTATCATGCTAAGATCTTATTACTTCAGCCCCCATATGACTGTTAGTAAAAACCTGTTTCTTAAAAAACACAATTGTTACCACTTACCACCTGCGGTTGAAGAAATTTTACAACCTCTTTTCCTACATGTTGGTTTCCCTTACAATTTAATCTTCCAACGTATAATCTCTATGCTATGAATTAGGGGTGTCAACGGGGCGGGGCGGGGCGGATTTTGGCATTCCCATCCCCATCCCCGCCTCACATTTTCATCCCCATCCCCATCCCCATCCCCATGTCGGGTTTGAAAATAATCCCCGTCCCCGCCCCGGCGGGTCCAACTCTAAAACCACCCCCGCCCCATCCCCGTCCCCGCCCCATACCCGCCAAACCCCCACCCCATACCCGCCAAACCCCCGCCCCATCCCCGCCAATTCCCCGCCCCATACCCGCCAACTAAGTATTGAGAAAAGCAACTGTCTTTCAAGTTTCAAGTGTCAACTGAAACCCTGCAGACTCCATAGTAGACTAATGAAAAAGTAGCAGTGCATACAAATCCCATTAACTCAAATCCAACAAAAACCACTGCAAGATCAACCATTTTAAAAATAACCATTTTAAAAAAAAAAACACTAACTCCAAATTGTCCAAAGTCCAAATATTAAAAATAACTACAAGTCTACAAATATTCAAATACATAACAAGAAATTCATTAGGCCTTGAATTATTCGGTGCAAAGTCCACTTGTTCCAGAATCGATATCACATGTTTCAAATCCTTCCTCTAATTCTCCCACTAATTTAGCATATTCATCATCCTTAAATTCTCCACAATCTGCAAATACAATGTGAATTAATTAAAATAAATAAATAAATAATATTATTAATCAAATAAAATTTTATTTTAGCTATTTACTTTTAGAAGCAGCCCATATCCAATTTTGAGTACACATCAAAGCTTCTACAGCTTCCGGTAAAAGCCGACTACGATAAGGATTAAGAACCCGACCACTTGTGCTAAATGCGGACTCTGATGCAACAGTAGAAACAGGAATGCTCAATATATCTCGTGCTATTTGCTGAAGAATGGGATATGTGCCTCCATTTGTCTTCCACCAGTTAAGAATATCAAAATCTTGGACTAGAGGCACATTAGCAGCATCTAAATACTTATCCAAATCTGATATATCATGACTTGAGTCCTTATCTTGTTGTAAAAATTCAGCAAATTCTTGCATAAAGGTCTCTTCATTGGATTTGCTACTACTACCCAAATCAAAATCTTGTTGGTTGCTACTACCTTGAGTTTTACCCATCTTAGACCCATATTCATCAACCAATCTTCGTAGAAGATCACTAATTCTACGAACCTCAATTTCAAAGTCATGCTCATCAAAAATTTTTGCAAAATAAAAGCGAATAAGAGCCATTTTGTATCTAGGATCTAGTATTGTTGCCACTCCCATTAAGCCATTCACACTAGCCCAATACTTGTTATATTTTTGTAACATAATGTCGGCCATTTTCCTTACATAATCATGAGGAGATAAAAGCCAACCAGAAATAGCAATTCTCAAAGCACAAATTTTAGGAAAATAAAGATTGGCCGTAGGGTAATTTGTTCCTGAAAAACTAAGGGTAGTTTTACTAAACACTTCCAAATGTTCACATATTTTCTCAACTTTTTCCCAATCTTCAGGGGTCGGTGGATTCTTATATAAATTATTACGAGCACTTAAAACAACAAACACTTCTTTATAACTAGTAGCAATAGAAAGCATTTCATAAGTAGAATTCCACCGGGTTTTGCAATCAAGTGCTAACTTTCTACTACACTCAGGAGTTATTTGCTTAGCCACTTGTTCAAACCTTTGTACTCTCTTATCAGAAGCAGTCCAAAACACAACACTATCCCTAATTCTTTGAACACCATTTGATACCACAGCACTTAAACCATCTTGAACAATCAAATTTAATATGTGAGCACAACAACGCATATGAAAAAAATCACCTCGCAATAAAAGTGAGCCATATGGAAACACTCCTTTCAAAATTTCCATCATTGCATCATTAGTTGAACAATTATCCACGGTTATAGAAGACAACCTAAGATCAAGATTCCATGATTGAATGCTTTCTTTCAAAGCATCAGCAAGAACCTCAGCAGTATGAGGGGCGGGGACATATAAAAACCTACCAAAACCAATGAAAATAACATATATTATTTGTCTATTCAATACTATTGTGGATATATGGGCTCATTATTATCATCCATCATCACAACTTATAATTCTTATGATTTTAAAATTCACACAAAAAACTATAGCAATACAAAGACAACCAAAAAAAAATAAACAAGTTATAAGTAACCAGAAAACAATACCTTATGATCCGACTTTGCAACTTCCATGTATTATCAATAAAATGTGAGGTGACCGCCATATAACCTTTTCTCTGGTTGTCAGCTGTCCACATGTCAGTAGTTAAGGCAATCTTACCCTTTGCTTTCCTCAACAAGGTTGCAACATTCTCCTTCTCAAGCTCATATCTTTTCATAATATCTTTTCTAGTTGTGTTGCGAGACGGCACTTTAAATCCAGGTTGGAGTGTCTTGCTATATTTTCTAAAACCAATATGCTCAACCATGCTAATTGGATACTCATGCAAAATAATCATCTCTGCCAAGTCTCTTCTTCCATCTTCTTGGTGGAATTCGTAAGGAGCCAATGTCATCGTGTCATTCTTATCATTCAAGTTTTTTTTTGTACCAAACATTCTTGTTTGTCGAAGATCTTGACATACTCTCTTTGGACATATTTTTATATGATCTTTCAAATGAGTAGTTCCTGCTTTTGACCCACCAGCAAGTAGCTTGGAGCAATGGTTGCACTCAGCTTTTATCACATCCCCAACTCTCTTTCTCTTAAAATCAGACCACACTGCCGAAGTATGCCTACTAGTAATTGGTAGGAGAGAAGGATCGGAATTAGTCTCTAGAGGACTTTCATCATCATCTATTGCAATTGGAGTATTACTAGCGGAAGTGGGAACACTAGCGTTATTTGACATCTCAGACAAATTCTCCCCTGTAAAAATTAAATAAAGACAATTAATGCCGAGAAAATGTGTACAAATTTGCAAGGACCTTGATCACATTCCATTTAATTTGCATTCTAATGGCAATCATAGAATTAGGTTCATTAAAAATTCTTACAAATTTCCAAAAGATTTTCATTATGACAAATACTATTTCAAAGGATGCATCCAATAGAAGCAGATATCAGAATATACCAATGTCAGACAGAAATCTCTTTCATCACATTCATCATTAAATCATTTTCATCTTCAAGTGCCCTGTTCATTGCTTACCTGCTCACTCTTTCTCCTCTAGAAAACCACTCAAACTTAGTAATCTAGCATATCACTTGAATTTTACTTTACGTCTTACCTTAATCATTTTCATCTTATAAATTGAAACTGACACCTTAATCAAGTTCTGGACTTTCGGGTGTTGAATACAAAGGGATCTTTATATGAATTATCAGCATTAAGACATCTTAAAGGTCTTTGATAAGGGTGTAGCAGAGTTTTAATAAGTTCAGACCAATGGTCTTTGATACATCCTTGTGGAGGAAACCTCCTGATGACCTGAATGATTATACTATCTTAAGTCATTATAGTGCATTAGTGCATGTCAATCCTACACAAAACACATTACAGTCTTCAAACACAAACCATTCAAAGAATTGTTAAATAAGAATTTAGCTTCATTTTATTATCATCTAGGAGTCAAATATAAGCTAGACCATACTTAAATATGAATAAGCCTGTTGATTATAGATAACTACTAGTTCGCACACATATATGATTCAAACCACAATATAATACACCATGAACACCCAAACAACATAGCAACACAGCAATTCGAGACACATTAAAATAATAGTAACACTTACATTTTCTCGGCATTTGGACAAAATAAAAAAACAGTGTGTTAAGTTAGTGTGTACTACAGAGATTGATCTTAGTAAATGAATTAAATAAAAAAAAAAAGTAACTAAATCTATAATGATCGAATAAGTGGTCAAATGACATAATCCGAATTTAGTTATCACACATAAGCTAAAATAATAAACAATTTCTGGGAAACGGGGCAAAGGGTAACCACTCACTCACCGTCTCTTAAACGAATAATTCACCACCAACAATCAGTGTTCTAGCAAATTAATCACCTCCATATAGATCAAAGCAAACCACTAATTAAAACCCAAAAAGGGCTACAAATCCTAATTCATGCAGTCTTTAAACAGCATTAAACCATTAATCATTCTTATCTTTGTACATTATTCAGTCAAAATCATATTTTCCAGGACCAATTAATGACTCTTTTAGCTAAATTGAAAACTAATGAAAAGTACTCATTCTGAATACTTTTTCTGATCAAAATTTGACCAGCACATACGAATTGAAACAAGAAACTCAGCTTACAATCACAACAACACCACACAAATGCAACAATTAGGAGTGTTTCAAGAATGAACCAAACCAAATTACAAATTAAAGTCACACCGAACAGAAATCAACGGCAACAAATGTTCTAATTTATAGCAAAGTACTAATGTAAAATTGTTAGAATGGTAATTTAAGGAGGTGTATATGAGCAATATGGCAATTGAAAAAAAAAAGTTCAATAATTGCATTAGATTGAAAGTATCATACAAATATAACACGAAACCCTAGCTCAATCAAATGAAATATTGAAAACCGCAATCGAACAAATCATAAATAAAAGACGAATCACATACTTTCAATCGAAAACCCAATTAAGAAATTCTTAATTGAACATATTGAATTAAGAAAACTCAAAGATAATAATGCGAAAACGTTTACCTAAATTGAATGAGTTGCAGCCTTGCAAGATCGAGGTTGAAGAAGAAGGATCGAAGAGATTTGATTGCAGACGAGGACCACGAGGTTGAAGAAGAAGGATCGAAGAGATTTGATTGCAGACGAGGACCACGAGGTTGAAGAAGAAGGATCGAAGAGATTTGATTGCAGACGAGGACCACGAGGTTGAAGAAGAAGGATCGAAGAGAGGGGTTTGAGGCTTGAGGAAGAGATTCAGCGCTTGAGAGTTGAGACTGTGAGAGGAGAGAGTGAGGCAGTGAGGTGAGGCTAGGGTTTTTGTTTTGAGAATGAGTGAATGACTGAATGAGGGTGGGTATTGGGTAAGTGGGTTTCGTGTCTTATGCGGGTATGGGGTGGGTATAAAGCGGGTATGGGTCGGGTATGGAGTGGGTCAGGCGGGGCGGGGCGGGTACGGGGTGGGTCAGGCGGGGCAGGGCGGGGCGGGTATGGGGCGGGTCTGGGCGGGGCGGGTATTACATAACAACCATCCCCGCCCCATCACCCATGGCGGGTATGGATTTTAGACCCATCCCCGCCCCGCGACCCGCCAAAGCTAGACCCATCCCCGCCCCATCGGGGCGGGGATGGGGCGGGTCTCCTACTAGACCCGCCCCAGTGACATCCCTACTATGAATGCAGTCTATGCAGATGAGTTTGTAGCGAATGCCACTGTATGGACTTGTAAAGTTGTAGGAGTTTCTACTCTAAGTTCAATTTTTTCGGAACTGAAAAATAATCATAACACCAAATAATAGCCTCAGACGAGTTCTTTTTCTGTGATTTTATTGCATCTCACGTTAGTTTTGAAATGCATGCAAATGTTTATAGCTTCAATGATTTGACGGAGTATCTAGATAGGTGGATTTCCTATTACAGTAGGTTTTAGCAGCTGTCTCGCATAATTTACCATCTGAGCTATCAGACTAATTTATTGAAGTTAGAATAATCTCTAGTTCAAGTTTGATATCTTACCTTGTGTGTGTGTGTGTGTATGTGTGTGTGAAGATTTCTTCCTCTTACTAACCACCAGCATTGTGACCCTAGCATGAGAAGATACAATAAAAAAATTTCAACTAGTTGCTTCTGTTATTGTTTTCATTATAATTTAAGCAATGAGAAAAAAAATTCTTGAGTGTGAGTTTAATATAGGTTTCATTCTCTTAAAGACAATAGACAGAAATGCGTATACCCTTCACTCATATTGAAGTGTCTGGATGTCTTGTAGGTGAGAATAGGAGGATGAGTTTTGACGATTATGCATGTTCTTGTTTTCCCTGCAAGGGAAAATGTTAAAGTGGGGTGAAGTTGGGATGTTTATTTTTTCCTTTCTATATTGGGGGTATTGGTTTTGGGTATTGACTTTCATTGGAACCCTTGTTATCGGTGTTACCCTCTTTGCCTCTTTTTTTATTTCTTAATTCGTTTAATTTTCAAGGGTTGTACAAGTGTAACAACTGAAATGTCCTTTTCTTTTTCTACTTTTTTTTTATAACTGCTATGGCACATAGTATTTATCCTCAAGAACATTGCAACTTTTTTTTATTAAGATTCTTGTTTTTTCAGTGAGGTTAGCAAAGTTGGTAATTGACAAAGTTCTAACAGCACCTTGTGAGACCAGAGTTCTATATCCCAAAAGTGGGGGAAATCTACATTGTTTCACAGCAGTCACCCCTTGTGCCGTGCTTGATATTCTCACACCTCCATATTTGGAGGATGCAGGCAGAAAATGCACGTATTATCATGACTATCCATATTCAAGTTTTCGTAAGTATCTCACTTTTGTCCATCTTATTATATCAGAATCTGTCTCTAATTTGACTTAGGGCTTGTACTGTATCACTACAGTTTTCAGTTTTTTGGTCTTTTGTTTTTTAAAGTAATATGATACATGTCATATAAAGAATTAATATATTAGTCAAATTGATTGAAATCATAATTAGAAACAAAAACTGATAACGAACAGGCCTGAGTTATTTGCAATCCCCTGACCTTCTACTATTGTTATTTTAGCTACAAAAGAAGCTATAGATGATGGAAAAGAAGAGGAATATGCATGGCTTGCGGAGATAGAAGCGCCAAATGTCCAAATGCGTCCTGGAATCTATGCTGGTCCTTCTCTTCTGGAGTAACTGTAATGGTGAGCTAATCATCAACCATTTAGAATCTAGTCTTGAAGTTGAATAGCTGCTCGTGGAATGATCTTTGCTTTGTGTGGAAGAGTTTGGTCAATGTACTTTATGTGCAAACTCTTCCACTCAGGACATGGTGATCACAACTTTGAGACTGAACAAAGTAGGATATACATGTATAAGATCTGTTTATGAATGCTCGCAGTTTTAACTTGTAAGTGGGTCTGTGTTCGAGAAAATTTTTTCAATTGTACAATTTATAAGCATCTAAGATAGTTGTTAATAGTTCTCTAAGTGTTGTAAAGGATGTTTAAAAAGTGACCGAGGTTTGAGACTTTTGACTGTAACAATCTTGTTTCATAGTTGTGCAAGCACACTATTGTTAAGCGATAGAGCTCGACTTTTTCACTTGCTCATGTCAAAGCTTGGCTTAAGTTAATTAGAATACTCTGTAACTATTATGTTTAATCTAGTTGATGATAGATTGTCACCTAGATTATACCAAGAGGATCTACTAATCCTAATTTAATTTATTTTTTTGTACTTTTTTTTTCCTTAATGACATCGCAGATGTACATGAAAAATCTATTAACAACTTTTTATGTAAGTTTCGGAGTTTCGACGAATAGTGTTCTGGTGAAATAGTGGTTGAAGACTTGAAGGTAGATTTTAGTATGTGATTTAGTGTTGCGGAAAATCTAAAAAATCATACGAAGTAGTTTATGGAGCCATGGAGGTACAAGATCAAGTTTGTTCTGTCTTTCCAAATCAAATTGCTAGTTTTATTGAATGGAGTAAGAATTATATTGAAAATAATAACTTCTAAAAAGTAGTAACTATCTAACAATTATGGAGTATTTCAAAATCAATTCAGTACAACTAATAACAAATGAACAATTACTCTTACGAAAAACATTAAGCAAATCTAGAATTCCCACTATTGACATATAACTACAAAAAATTCATTACAATCTGCCAAAGCCTAATCATCCTAATTATATTTTTGCGACCACAAATGACATGACGTTCATTTATAATGTACTTATTAATGAGATCGGGTCTGCTAATACATACTAGTAATATATTGAAATGGAGAACTATCTTGTTCAAAAGAACCATGAAAGTGCAAGAAGAGAGATCATGGATGACAAGGTGCTAAGACTAAAAACAATGAAATGCAACATGGTTGCCCTTGAAATAATCCTTCATTCCACCCTTGTGTGTGCGTCTACACTCGAACTTGTTGCTTCAATAGTCTTGGTGTTGTTATCAATAAACACATATTTGCTAGCAAAGAAGCCAAAATAGATGTAGTTGATGACTCCTACGCAAGCAATAATGCCATAAAAGTAGTCAAGCCTGTTCTGATTAAGATTATGTCCACCCAACCACGCCACTCCTTGGCTGTTTCGAGTAACCTGGTATATGATGTTAACAATAGCTGTGGCAAAGTAACTGGCCATGGACAAGCTAATGAAGAAGATCGAGCCAGCCAATGATCTCATGCTTTCGGGCATCTGTGTGGTGAAGAACTCCATGATGGTAACCGCGGCAAAAGCTTCAGTTAAGCCAGAAAGTATTTGTTGTGGTGCTAGATATGCCACACTAAGAGGAGAAACGTAGGAGTGATTTTTTAAGGCCATATCACGTCTCTTGGACTCAACCACCGCGCTTATAACCATGCTTAGTATTGACATAACTATTCCTATCTTGATCCTTGCTTTGACTGACAACCTCACATCATCTTTCTTCAGTAGTACCCTGGCTAAGGGTAGAAAAATGCGCTCATATGATAAAATCCACAGCGTGAGAGCAGCCATAGCCGCGAAACCTATCCAAGCAGGGGGTATGGTGAAATGTGACCCAAGTTTTCGATTCATTTGAAGTGCTTGTAGGATACCGAAAGTGTTCTGTTGGTCCATGGACACAAAAGACAGAATGCCAGCCAACCAAACAGGTAAAATTCCTATCAAACACTTTAGTTGCTCAACTTGTTGAACACTGCAAAGGCGCCAATTGTTCTTGGCTAGTCCTACACGATTCAGCTCATCGGGCTGATTAATCAAGGCAGCCTTGTCTAAGAACATTAGTCGATTTGTTCTAGTTAGTTTAGGCACCATTGATTCTAACCGATCATCACTAATACTACTAGGAGGATCATAAAAATTTTGATGAATTTCATCATTTTCTTCTAAGGTCAACTTTCTTTTTCTAAAGGCTGCAACAACCACTCTAGCCATGTCAATAAAGATGCTCCCTTGAGGCTTCTTGTATATGTAAGTCGGGCAACCAATCAAGAAAATCGAGCTTGAGAATGCAAAGCACACGGTTGGGATCGCAAACCCGATAGTCCAACTAATGTTGGTTTGTACATAAACTACTAAGGTGAGTGCTACCAAGAGGGAAAGTGTGAAGGAGAAGTACCACCAGTTGTAGAAGCGCGAATATGAGGCCCTGCCTTTTTCTGTTCTTATGTCAAATTGATCCGCACCAAAGGCAATGTTGCACGGTCTTATGCAGCCGGCTCCTATGGCTAGCATCATTAGAGCTATGAACAGAATCGCGAGCTGCCAAGACGTTGGTGGGATACAATCTGCAGGTGGTGTACAAGGTGGAGGCCTTAATTTTGATATTCCTGCACCTAGCGTCAAGATTCCCATCCCCTGTAATTTCAAATGCTGGTTAGAATCAATCCATTTGTTATAAACTACATTGTTACTTTCCACTATGTTAAAGTAATTTGTGTACTAAGAATACACTATTCAATTACTCTTATGTATAACGTTTACACATAATCTAAAGTTGTAACAAAAACGCAACAATTACTTTGGTTTCTTGATAATATAGAAGTTTACTTGTAATGAGTATCCCCGTTGAAGATACATTTTAAAATTTCCATCTATAATAGATAGAAGGTTTGTACCGCATAAACATTTCCGTTATACACAGGGGTGTATTGTACACCTATTCTATTTAAGTGCTCATTTGTTGGATTTATGCGCATGGTATGCTAACCCAATGTATAATAGACATTATGATGGCTTAAATATTACGGAGTAGGATTTTTGTTTATTTTTCCCTTCCGGTCTATCTGTTGATTAGAACATCTCAATCAAATACAAATTAACTTCTTGTACACTTTAAATGCTGTTGAATTGTAACACTGTGGGAGTTAAGAAAATTATGATAACATGATATCCATGACAAAATTCTTATCCCATTTTAATTAGATATACTAGGTACATCATATTTTACCCCAAGTTACTGTTTTAACTAATTTTAATTTTATTATTTATCATTATAGTGTAAAAAATATTAAATCATTATGTGACAGTCATTTAGTCAAAATAAAACATACTAGTACTCGCACTTCATTAGTGGATCAAGTGTTGAACAGTTCCAACCCCCCCCCCCCATTCTTTTTTCTTGAATTTTTTTTTTTTTTTTGACGAAATTATTATTTTTTGGTAAATAAAAAATAAAAGTGGAAAAAGTCAAAATAAAATGCGAGTAAAATGGCAAAAAACCTTACCAGCATAGAAATGACAGAGCCAATAAGCAAAGTCCAGAACCTACCCAGGTAGGCATCAGAAAGCAAAGCACCTGGCATCGTCAAAAAATTGCAACATCCTGACCATATGTTTACTACATTTACCAATAATATTCCATCTATATTGTATTTTGTGCGCAAAAATACTGTTATATTTGAGATCAAGCTCATTGACGCCAGCTTCTCAAATGTTTCATTTGCTGTAACACAAATTTTAACCAAAACTATATTATTAACAACATTATATTAATATTGACATAACACATGCATTACACGCCCTAATTTCAATATGATAAAAGATAGGTCCGACGGACCTAGCACATTCTTGTACGTAATTGTAGAGTAATGCATATATGTTGCTAAAGAGTACGTACATTAGATTGAGAAATTCTAATAATATATTGGATTTTTAAAACAAAGTAACGTGGATAGGCATTACCTAAGATATATTTTACGGCTCTCCAGCCTCCTTTCTTCTTTGTCCTATTATAAATTATCGAAGAATTTTGACTAAGATTTTCCTCATCTCTCGCTTCACTCCCCATTTTAATGGAGATGTTAAAAATGATCAGAGGAGGAGGGGGAGAGCTAGAGAAGAGCAATGCTGGAGGAAGGGAAAAAGATAATATTTGGTAAAATTTGTGTTTTTATGAACAAATAATTTATTTTATACCTAGGATTTTAAAGGAAAGTTGACTTATATGATCCAAAAAATCCGGTATACTATAAAACAAACTATGAGACAGATACACCAAAAATATTTGTTTTTAAAAGAAAGAAATGAAAATAGGCAAACAGCTAGGAATTTTTTTTTTTTTTGGGAAAGCTAGGAAATTAAGTTTCTTACAGTGATAATATATCCAACTTCATTTTATGAGGTGCAACAGTAGACCTATTAACTATTACTAAAACAGGAAATTGCTGACATCATCATCTTCTCAAACTGTATACGTGTCGCTTTCTCGTAAAAAAAATTTCTGCCTAATGCACTTATGATGTCATATATATTTTTGGTTATTTTTTATTTTTAATCATTTTCATTTCAATCCTTTGACTATGTCAATAAATAAATAAATTATAATTATTTTTTGGTAACTACAAATATTTTTTTATTATTATTATTATTTTTATCTTTTTAAGGTTTTAATGTTATTTTGTGTATGTGTGTGTTTTTTTTACTAAGGATTGTACAAACAACTTAACTATGAAGTCATGTACTAATAATATGGATGTTTGTTACACAAAAATGAACTAATGTTGTCGGTAAATGTTTTCATTGTTTTGTATTTCCAAGGTGCTTCTATTTATTTAAATTACAAGTATTTTTAATTTGTATTTCGAACTCTTAGATGACATATAAATTCGTATGCATATGGTTTGATTAGATCAGATTGGTCGGCTTTCATTTTTATATTTTGTTACTTATGTAATTTATGATGATAGATATGTT